GAGCTCCATCTTCCTTGGCGGCCAGAGGGGGACTGAGCTCTGGCCTCGGCCTATGCTGTTTATAAAGGCCAGGCCCTGCCCCCTTCCAGTCAGCTGACCAGACCGGTTGTCACGGCAACCCGCACCTGTGCTGCCCTGGTGATTGGCAGCTGAGCTGGTCACACTGCCTCCAGTAGCAGGCACCTTAGTGCCCTGCTACAGGCCACCTTTTCAGTCTGAAGAGTCAGCAAGCACTGCAAATTCTGCCCTACGTTGTTGTTATTTTATACTACTTAGATCACAGAAATATCTGCAAGTCCCAAAGGAGATCAGGGGCCCATTGTACCAAGGAGTCTAAAATGCTGCAAGAATCTGTGCCTCAAGTCTTTATATCCAATGAAAAAGCCAGTATAGTGTCTCTACCACCCTTTGTCTAATTCTTATCCCCAAAGCAGACTGGCAGACTTCCATTGCCTTCCAGGGGTACTGGATTGGTGCCTCAATGTTTTAAGGGTGTTTACCTCTATTTGGTTGAGCAATGCACTGTCAAACTTGAAGCCAGGGATTCGCTTTTCACTGCAAATCACTCCTACATCTTCGGTGTGCTTGCAGTCAGTGACTCCCCAACCATTTGAGTTGCATTCTGCCAAAGTGGTCTCTCTGCCAGTACAATGGACATTGTCCAGCCAGATTTTGCCTGAGGAGGGAGAAAAAAAAATGAAAAAAATGAGAGATTCATGAAGAAACCACAGTGGTGGTCAATCTAGGCAAAGTGGTCTAACATGAGCCAGACACTCATTCTGGTAAATCTGAGAGCATCCCTTTAATGAAATTCAGTGTAAACACAGTCAAAGGGAAATCTAAAACACTCAAGCTATAAGAAGAGTTATGAAATACCAATTCAATCTTTTCAGGACCTACCTCAAGTATTTCCTGATCAGAAACATACCTTCTTCCCTTGAAGCATCTCACTGAGAAACCTCAACCATGAAGTTTAGAAAGGCTCAGATTTAGGTTTAACTCCTCAGATGGTGTCAGCCCATAGCTTACCAGGCATACACTGATTCATAACAACTGAAGAGCTGGCTGTCTAGCAAATAATGACTGTATTGAGACACACAAGTCAAAGGTTTACCAACTTACAATTTCGGGAGCCCAGCCTGAGAGACCAGAAAGGGCTCAGCTTTCAAGAAGTGCTGATCAGCAGCCACTCGCTAAAACACCGTGTTTTTTAAAGTCTCTCTCAATAAACCTTTCCAAATCCTCAAGCACTGGGGGAAATGTGCAATTGTGCAAGAGTCATTTCATATCTGGACATGAAATCACATTGATGCACTTTGAGACTTGCAGCAACAGGCACATACCAGACAGCATGCTCCACTGTAAACAGTTACGTTTCACAGTGTGAAACAAAGCCCCTTTCTCTTGTAAGCTCCCCAGACCACTCCTGCTTGCCATTTGCGTCAGCACACAGAGACAGGCAGGCTGAAGTGACCTTAATTATGAACTTCCTTAGGGTGAAAGCTAACATCCCTCAGTGATGGGAGTACTTCAGAGTGCCTCATGTCAATAGGTGCCTCAGCTTAGTTGATTAGACCCTGGCCTCCAATCACACAGGCTGTGAATCTTCTTTCTACATTTAGGGCCCCTCATATCATTTCTGGCATGTCAAATCCTCATTCAATCACATTTCAGAAAGAGCTTTAAGTTTTGATTGAATCTCACTTACAAAAATCTTGTCAAAATCCACATTTAATAAGCAACTAGCTATTTGGAACGTGTTGGTATTTGGATGCCCTGAAACCCCCTTGAAAGGCCTGATTTTCAGACCATAGTAAGCACCCACCCTCTGGAAAAATAAGCTTCCTTTAAATTGACTTAAGTTGGGCACCCAAAAAATTATTCAGTTGCACCTCAAAATCTTGGACAAGTTTCCTCTGCAATAGTTGAGTATGAGGATAAAAGACCTGCAGCTTTACATGTAATGCACCATCCCAGCTGTGGTCCTCATAGAGGGTATAGTGAAGGGCCTGCTTTGCAGAAGTGCTGCAATATTAGACTGCACTTGTTGCTGCAAGTGTTAATCACCCCCCACTGCAAGTGATGTTATTTGTTCCTCCTACCTGTCTCTCATGATATAACACACCATTTTAATTCACCTGGAAAAGCAGGTAGATAAGGACTTCCTAAGCATCACCCCTACTACATTATATGCGAGATCAGCACTGTTTCCCTTGGACTGCATCCTGGCTCCATGTGCCACACCTGAGCGAAAGGCCTTGATGCAGTGGAAGCTCTAGGTTCGTGGTCACTGGGAAAGGACTTCCTCCCTTTAAGCTGCTACTACAAAAACAAGACAGCCTCTGCATATTTCTATCTAGGCACTTAAATGTATTGCTTTAACAAAGTGGTTCCCATCTTCAAAAAAGGGAGGAAGGAGGACCCGGGTTACTATAGGCCAGTCAGTCTTACCTCAATCCTGGGCAAGCTTTTTGAGAGCATTATTTTGGCACATGTCCATGAAGGGCCAGCAGGGGAGATTATGCTTAGGGGCAACCAACATGGGTTCATCAGTGGCAGGTCCTGTCAGACCAACCTGGTGGC